TGTATTCCAGGCTTCTCGAAGGAAATCTCTCAGGTTAACCTACCTGGGTTAGTAGCTAAATAAACCTTCTGGAATGCCAGAAAATTAAACTGGTCATCTGATGAGAAGCCCCCCCCCCACAATTAGCGGACCATCTGTGTGTGAGTTAATTGGGGGGGGGCTTCTCATCAGATGACCAGTTTAATTTTCTGGCATTCCAGAAGGTTTATTTAGCTACTAACCCAGGTAGGTTAACCTGAGAGATTTCCTTCGAGAAGCCTGGAATACAGCTAGTACAGGTCAGCTAAGCAAACTTACTCCGGCACGGTCACCTGCTCTGGTGAAGGACGTGGTGGAACCCAAACATCTTCAGTCGGGTAGCCAGGGTGGGACCAGAGGTCAATTTGGAGCGGCACATAAATCAAAATGGAAATATAAGGCATTTAGAAAATAAGAATGTTTAAAGTACCTGAAAGCTATAACTCTACATTGTTTATAATCCAGGCAGTGGTGGAATTATCAAATACACATTTAATATATCAATTTCTTGCAGTTAAGGTAACAAGCTTACACTAAGTACAAGATTCCCGAACTTTTGCATTACTCCTGTTCTGAAAGCACATATTTAGTACCCTGCAGTACTATGGGTACTGGGGGGTGGGCAGGCAATGGGGGGGGCACGGCGATCCGCATGTGGGTGTAGGTCTGCTTAATATAAGCGGCAGAGCAGTTAATAAGCTGTTTAACAAGCAGTGCCCTTTCCTGTAGGATCCGCATGACATGGGAGCTGAAATTATTCACAGAGATTTACATCACAGATTAGACCCCGTGACGTTCCCTGAGGTCTGTCCCCTGCTCTGTGCGGTCAATCGTTCAACTGAACAACATTCTTAAGCTTCAGATTTCAAATAATCCCCATCAGGATGACTTTGCATTGCTTTGACAAGTGTTTCATTGCCAGTTGGAGCTTATTGCATAATATATGTGATATTGCATGCATTTGTGAATAAACTTTATTGATCTGTTAAAAAAATATAGCAGCGTTCAGTGGCTGTGATCCTGAGTGGGTTAAAGAATCACAGATTAATCTATACTGACATAAAAAGAGGAAAACAATGTGAGGCTTTTTGCAATGAGTGGTTTAAGCATAATTATGTCATACTTCAGGATTCCCACATGTCACTGGCTGTGTGCTGTACATTCCTATCACCGCTCTTTCCGACAACGAGGAATATTACGGAAATAAGAAACCAATGTGCAGGTAATGACAGAACATTGCCTTCCAGTTAAAATCTACATTTCGCAGTATAATACTGTAATCCAGGTCATATGTGATGTCATCCATCTTATAAATGCTGAATCCAAAGGGCCTGCCCACATGATTCATGGCTTTACTTGACGTCTACATTGAGCAACACATTTGAACTGGTTGCGTCACCTTCGAAATGATTTTTTTTCCGGCTGTAGTTAAACTTCATGCGATTTATAGTGCAGTGTGATAGTTTCCTTGTTATAGATGGAAGGTGCCTCTGCTGGCCCCCTCTGCGGACTCCCCCCCCCCCAAGGCTGCACTGCAGTCACAGAGCAAATGCAGCACTAGCCATTGATGTTGGATTTTTAAGCTTGTCAACAACATGCTCAAATTAGCAGCGACTGGCCAATCACTTAACCTCCATTACCGAAATCCTAATTGGCTGTTTTTGAATCATTTTGGCCAGTCAGCTCAGAATTGAACGATAAGCTTAGAGTTTGTTAAACCTGCTTTCTGTAATACCACCCAATTCCCTTCTTAAGACTGTAGGTGAGAATCTGTATTACTGCTTAGACCAGGGGTGGCCAATCTTATCCGCAAAGGGGCGCTGTGTGTGCGGGTTTTCGCTGCAACTCCCTAATTATATTACTAATTAGAGGACTGATTGGCTGAGGAGTCCTCACACCTGGGTTTGAACAGCTGACCTACAGGTTATCCCAAAAACCTGCACACACACCGGCCCTTTGCGGATAAGATTGGCCATCGCTGACTTCAGCTTCTGGGAAATGCGTGCGTCTCAGGATTTTAGGGGTCTGTACCTGTGTCCGGAAGGTTGTGATGTCAAGACCCACAACTGGCAGATTAATCATGTCACTATTTGGCCCTTAACCCCAGCTGTTCCAGGGCTGCCGTGCCCAGGCTTTCCTCGCTTGCTAAATAAACAAATGTGAGCCTGGAGATTGAATATCAGTTTTTGCCCGAGTCTCTACAAGCCCTCTTTCACAAGGAAAATTACCCATTAGTTTAATAAACTCTCTCATTTCCCCAAAAGACGTGACTGCACTTTGCAGACACTAAGTGGTCTTTGGGGATTATGTAACTCGCACGGAACATGCTAGATGCTTTGTAGGATCTGTTGCATTTGTTTTGCGGCTGCTTTGATCCATGTACATTTTTTTTTGAGAAGCCAGGGTCAGACAGTCCCTGGAGCAATTGGGGATTAAGGGCCCAATGGGGAAATCACTCTAACAAATCCGGTATTTGAACCAGCAACCTCCCAGTCAAAGGCACACCTCTCCTCCTTAGGGCCAATACAGTACAGCCCTCACACAGAGATGTCCGCTGTGCTCTGGCCTGTCGTAGCCATCCACGAATACCCCTTCCTCTATCTCTGCATGGCAGAATAACTTTTCCTCTAGCTCTGCCTTGCACGTGCAGGTGTGCGTGTGAGCAGTGTGCAGAACAGGCACCTCTTTGTTCAGGTGTACGTGTGGGCGGAGCTGACTCACCAGACTACCAGCAAGGTGTTGGCCCCAAAATCTCGGGGGTTTGTTCTTTGAAGTGAAACAAAGGTCTTCGCTCAGAGCCTTTTCCTGATCTCCTCCTATTGGGGACAGTTTTTGGAGCTTATAGGGTTACGGTGTCCTTGGAAAATGACATTCCTATAAATGTCCTTTTATAGGGTGTGGGTTTCCTTTCACAGTCCAAAGACATGCAGTTGCATTAATTAGCTTCTCTAAACTGCCCATACCTGGTGTGTGTATGTGCCCTGCGATAGACAGGCATCACACCCAGGATCTACCCCAGTCTTGCACGCTACACTATCTGGGATAGGCTCCCGGCTCCCCAGTGGCCCTGACCAGAATAAAGGGTTGGAGGTTGGATGGATAAACAGGGTATATCCTGCACAACCTAGCAGATGCTAAACTTTCCCTCCAGTTCTTGAGTCAAACAGTATCTGGTGCATAACCCAGAGATTGTCTGTTAAAGTGACACGGTGACTGTTGAAAGTTGTTTGTTCTGACTATGAAGAAACACGGTTTCGCTTAAAACATTCTGAACTTGAGCCCTGTAAGCCCCCAGCTCCGCCTGTGCTCTACACACTCCCTTGTAGGAAGAGGGTGGAGATGTGCATCTTCTTTCTCTCTGTGATGCACCTTCAAGGGCACATGTGACCCACCCACTGTGTTATGAATCACGTAGATTTGTAGACTCAACTGGCCCCAGTGGCTTGTTGACAGTCCTGCTCAGTTGCTCCTTCGTGGTAACTTGGTGCAGGGACAGAAATTCTCCCTATGCCCCTGTCTAGGTGGTGTGGTCTTGCCGCACTGCATCCGGGTTGTCCTTCACAATTAAGGAGGGCCTTATTGTAGGAATCTAGGAGAGAGCAAAAACGTGGACCGTTTTGGGGGGGTCCCTGAGGACCCCGAGGTTGAGAAACACTGCTGTAGAGAGATGAGGGCCCACAGATTATAGCGTTTCCAGGTTCTGGTTTAGCTCATTTGAACCCCTTTGTTATTGGCCTTAATATTTAAGGTCTTTGTGTTTACAGAGCAAACCTCATGTCTGCTGGAGAAGAGGTCAGTGGAACCTGAACAGTAGTACTTAGGTCTCCTCTGCTCATCATCTGAATGGGTCCATTACCCTTTTTTGACCCCGCTCAAGAAAGTGTGAGAAAGTGGTTCAAAAAACTGGCTATAGTCTCAGGTGACTCCCATCACGAGGAGATCACAATTTGCTAGTAGGACAAGCGCACCTTTGTTTTGTGTCATGCCATCCTGCCAGCCACCCGCCCTGGCACTGCGTGTGAAACCACATCCGTCCCGCATTGTCGTCTCAGCTCGGTGACGCACTGTAGCACCACCTCCCCACCACGGGGTGCAAGAAATACTACCTGTCTTTGTAACCAGAGTCCAGCTCCACATTGTACCTCTGAGGATGAAGTTCTCACAGATCCTGTCCAGCGATGGGTGTGGAGTATTGGCCAACCTGTAGCATCGGCGGCACATTAAAGGTTCGGCTGGGCTGAAGTCCACGGGCAAAAAAAAAAAGATTTTTTATAATTATGGCCATCTCAACCCCCACCATGACGTCAAAAAACCTGCTATAAACTCAATGGTCTGCTGGCTCTTAGCGATTCATCGAGGACATCGGCCATGAACCCACTCCACTGCACTTTGCTCCTTGGGATCCTCGGTAAGTAGGACCAGCAGAACCGAGACCAGAACATCTGACCATGAGCACTCAAGAACTTGACATGTTTGGCAAGTTAGTTATCATTTGTACATGTATGTATGGTTCATTGATTATTATTAATCTTAGCTTATGGAGGTATGCTGTGCCACTACACTGAAGTGTTTGGAAAGACCATTCGGAGTTTGATATGTGATCATAAGGAGAGAACAGGAAGCAGGTAGGTTAACAGACCTTTTTCTTGTCTTAGTTCAGACTATTGTACCTCATGAGAGCAGCATCTCTAACAGGTACAAAATGGATAAAGTCAGATGGTGTGTGACATCTTCACAAGAGCATAAAAAGTGCGAGAACATGAAATCCATGGTGTCCAAGTTCCTCTGCGTGCTAAGAAACGACACAGCGGCCTGCATCAATGCCATCAAGGTGAAGGTCACTTCCCCCACAACATATTCTCTGCTGTTTCCTAAGAACAGGTACACAGCACTTTTCCTTCTTTGAAGACCTTGTTTCGATGTCC